TAGTCAAAGCTAGCCTTGGCTTTGAAAGCATCTGGACTGTAACACCATGCTGACAGAACACCTCTGCTTGCATCCAAAATAAGCCTTGGGTCACATGTGCTCATTTTCCAAATAAAACTTTTCTGGGTTTTGTTTTGCCGCTTTGGGAACATTGTGATTAAAACAGACTCGACAATCTCAGACTTTCTGTAGCCTGTGTATCGGAACCAGGGAGGCCACGGGTAGGCTCGTGCACGTATGTGAGCCGAGTGCTCTATGCCTTCTCCAGTCAAGTGCTCTGCAGCAGGCTGACCGAGTCCGGCCATCTGTGGCCAGAGCTCCCCAGTAAGAAATGAGAGGTATTCAACACGTTTTGCTCACAAGTCCATACAACCAGAAATACATTTAATCTCTGCTCCAATCTTACCAACTTGGACGGGGTACAAGGTCCAGGAGGAGGCCTAGGGAAAAAAAAAAGAAAGAAAAAATGCAGCCATGTTTAATAACATCAAGGAAACTGGGCAGCCACTTGTTATCTGCAAGCAGTGCATTTTATACCAAGAACGCCACTGTAAAAAAACCCTCCAAGCAGGATATTAAGGATAAAGAAATAAAGTAGTCTCACCCAGTTTTGAGAACTGTTTCTTCATCCTCTGGCACCTCTCCAGAGCTGGAGACTGCAGGAAAAGAAAACAAAAAGCCAGCGCTGTAACGTACAGGTGCAGGCCAAGACTCTTTGCAGGAGCCAAGTTCTCTCCAGGCTGTTGCGGAGGCATTTGCGCTGCCTCCTGGGTTACCGCCCGCAATTCAAGTGCACGCTGCTACAAGCAAGGGCAGCTGAATACACCTAAGTAGCACTAGGGAAAATGCTGCCTGCAATTTTAATATAAGAAAACAGATGCTTTCAATTATAGATGAGTTCAAAGTGATAGTCCATGAGCTTACATTAAGAGCGACTAGGTTTGGGCTTAGACTCATTTTGCAGGGCCACGTCCAGATATTAGCGGTAGTTAAAAGCAGCGTTATTTACAGTCGGAGTGCTGCTTCCTGCCAAGCGTTCCAGCTGGCTCAGCGGTAGCTAGCTTTTAAGCACCAGCACAGCCGGAAACTGCTGTTAATTATTAATAAGGCAATGTAGCTTCAGCCTGAGTGGAGGACGCGAGCAGACTTTGCACAGTCGGAGCGTGCGAGCATGCAGTCTGCTCCCATACTTCCCTTGCAGACGTTATGGAAGGGAGCGCAAACACAGGCGCTGCACACGCGTCCAGTGCAAGACGCGGTGCACCAGAGACGCGGCAGACACTCTGCAGCCAATTAAGGTGCTCTGGGCTTTCAAGCATTAACGAGCTCAACTGGAGCCACCTGAAACATCTCAGTTCCTCTCCTTACACCCAGAAATTTTGACTAGGCAGAAGAACGACCGTGTCAAGTAGTGCAGAGGGAAGAAATAAATCCCCCCTTAAACCTCCCAGGTAATCCAGATCCAAACAATGCAGACTGATCATTTAACCTGGGTAGGTAAAGCTTCTTCAGTGCCTCTTCAAGTTACAGATGAGACTTCCCTGCGGTTTCATGTTTTACTGAGGGAGCCCTCAACACTGCGCTCGGAAACTCAGAGACCTCCACACGACCCCATTACCAGCACAGGGAACCCCGTACTGGGGACCGCAGTGCTCTCGTTCTGCAAAAACATTCAGCTACAACAGTTAAATTGGTATGGAAAAAAACCCACTGAAGTGCTTCTCCAGATACATCCTTCTACAGCAAAAACGGGATAACTCCTCCAGAAAAGTCCGTTTTGTACAGCACAAATCCCACATAGCTAGAACGCTGCAGATGAGCCCGCCACCGGGACATTACTCTGGCTGTACGAGCTCGCCCTTCAAACCCAGAAGTATGCTGTGCAAAACAGCCAATCTCTCCGCAACATCAAATCACGTGGAAGAGGTTCTCTGGTGTCCCCGGCATTTCAGGAGCCATTTACTAGTCCACCACTTGCTAGCCACTCCTTTCCCTCAGCTTGAATAAAAAGAGAGTATAGGCATCGCTTTGTTCTCCTGCACTAAATCCACTGCTTGCATTCCAGTAGCACAGAAGAACATTTAAATCAGTGTGTCCTTCACCCAAACCTGCCTCTGTCGCAAACTGTACAGGTTTGGAAGGCTTTTAATAAGTTTACAAAGTTCAGCCTCAAAAATTCCCTTCTCAAAAGAGAAGCTCTAAAACTAGCAGCCAAATTCTGTTTAAAGAGCAGTGAATTTGCGATAGCTACCTCATCTCCCAGAGAACACGCAGGCCTCTGTGAGAGCCCTCTAAGGCAGCCACAAGCCCTGCTCGCCAGCTAGCTTCCTCTTTAACTTTGCGAGCCACCACACTCAGAAGACATTAAGGCTGTTCCCCCAGTTGATTTACAAGGCTGAATTCATAGGCCACGAACTAGCCCCATTACCTGGGTTTCACTAGTCACATAGATCTCTAGAAAGCCAGTTAGAGCATCCATGCTTAACTGCAGCTTGTCCGGCCTAGGAAGATCAGCTGCTGCACCCAGACTGAAGAGGTAGCCCCATAACGTTGTTCTCCTTCAGCAGCAAAAAG